TTCCGAACCTGAAGAGAATCATTATTTTTCACAAATACACAAATCCAAAATAATGTTACCTTACGCCAATATAGGTTCAGCAAATCTTACATACAGAACCATGTTCACAATTCATAAATAATCAAAGTACCGCTTCTCTTTGAGACAATTTAACTGGCCACATTAATCTAAACCCCCAGATAAGACACACACTACCTTTTATTCATTTAATCATTGAACAAGTACTGTTTAAGCATCTGTAACAAGTGTGACACTGTACTCAGATGTACAAGTGATGAGAAAGACATGGCAGCTATTCTCAGGAAGCTTACTGCTAGCAGGAATCTCTCATACAAACACCACACAGCATTTAAAAATGTTTGTCACATACAGGGAGCCTGGGTGGCTCAGTAGTTAAGCGTCTGCCTTCGGCTCAGGTCATGATCCCGGGTCCTGGGATCGAGCCCCACATCGGGCTCCCCGCTCAGCCTGCTTCTCCCTCCCCACTCCCCCTGCTTGTGTTCCCTCTCTCGCTGTGTCTCTGTCAGATAAATATGACCTTGTCCAAAAAAAAAAATGTTGTCACATATAAAAAATACACCGATGAAATAAAAGTCAACTTATATTCTCAATATACATAAACCCTATATAAACTATTACGTGCACACTATTCTTGTCTTACCAACATTTCTTTAATCATTTAAGTCTTGCATCTTCTCTGCATTGCTCCCCTGGCAAATACATGAACATGTGCCTAACACTCCCGAAGTAACCATTAGCTGAGACAGATTATATTCGTAGGAACAAGCACAGTGTAGAAGTATATATACCAGGTGACAGCTGTCCATAATCGGGGGGGGGGGGGAACGAAACACTGAATCTTGAAACTATCTTGGATTATGTATTTTAAAACCTTAAAGACATACCATGTTCCCACTAAAATACATTTTAAAAGCTACGTGAGTATATCTGATGACAAAAGTAAAAAATCACGGCAGAGAGGGCGCCTGGGTGGCTCAGATGGTTGGGCGTCTGCCTTCGGCTCAGGTCATGATCCCAGGGTCCTGGGATCAAGTCCCGCATCGGGCTCCCTGCTCCTTGGGAGCCTGCTTCTTTCTCTCTCTCTCTCTCTCTCCCCTCCTCTGTCTCTCATGAATAAATAAATAAAATCTTAAAAAAAAAAATCACGGCAGAGAAATAGCACTAAAGCATATAATCTGGGCTGTCCACCTCTAACTCCAGAGCCAGCTTAGCCCAGCTAGTTCAGGTGCTGAGCGTGTCTACTAAGCTGTCACCCAGCTCTCACTGCTTGTTCAGCAGGTGAAGGGTGTCGCTAACACTGTATGGACTAGTGGAGCGCAGAGACATTCGAGAAGGAAAGGTTAAAGGATTTTTCTTAACAGCCCTAAGGTCCTAGTCCCAGAAGGGCCACTTCAGAGGATTTCTTTTTAGATTTTTTTTTTAAAGATTTTATTTATTTATTCATGAGAGACAGAGGGAGAGGGGGAGGGGAGGGGGAGAGAAGCGGAGGGAGAAGCAGGCTCCCAAGGAGCAGGGAGCCCGATGCGGGACTCGATCCCAGGACCCTGGGATCATGACCTGAGCCGAAGGCAGACGCCCAACCATCGGAGCCACCCAGGCGCCCTTCAGAGGATTTCTGTGCCTCTCTTACTGAGAGAGTCTAAACAGTAGAAAAGGAACCATAGGTTTCATTATGTAGTAACAACATCTGTTTGAATGTTTTTTATTTTGGCAACAACACTACCCAGATTTTGGGACAGGAGGGAAGAAAGTAGAAAAGAGCAGAATCCCTAAAGATACTAAAAGTCAACATCAAGTGAATGGCATTTGCTCATGCAGAAGTAACACACCGTAAGAACTGGTTACGAAAGTGCTGGGAGGTGACAGAAGCCTTAAAAATGTGTTTTGACTCAGCAACTGTATCATTACTGGTTTATCCTAAGGAAGTAATCAGAGAACTACACAGGTACACATAAGGATATCCAGTTAGTTAAGTTGGCAAAAAAAATCAGAAATGAGATTAAATAGAAATTATGTCATCAGAATAAATTAGGTAGCCCTATCATAAAATTACTGTAACATCCTCACTCTACATTCCAGTCACTGGGCTTGGAAACTGTATTTGCCTTCTTCATTGCAACCACTGAACAGTAAGGACTGATGAAAAGTATACTGAGAAAATTCACTACCATGTTGCCATTAATGTATTACTAAGAAGAAAGCAATTTAAAGAATAGGAGCCTATTTTAAAGTAGCTATGGAACTACATTTAGTACACATACACATAACCTTTTCTAAAGTGCCTTTTTTAGGTGTTGCTTTGTGGGTGGTTTTTCCTCCAGTTCTCTTCTTCAAGGGTAACTGTTAAAAAGATGACTATTAGAGGGGCGCCTGGGTGGCTCAGTCGTTAAGCATCTGACTTCAGCTCAGGTCATGATCCCAGGGTCCTGGGATTGAGCCCCGCATCGTGCTCCGCATCGTGCTCCCTGCTCTGCGGGAAGCCTGCTTCTCCCTCTCCCACCCACTCCCCCTGTTTGTGTTCCCCTCTCTCACGGTCTCTCTCTCTCTGTCCAAAAGAAAAAAAAAGATGACTATTAGAGATTAAAGGAGTATTTTTGCCTTTGCAAAGAGACCAAGAAACTGTCTTAAAAAAAAAAAAATCAAAAATTAAAACACTATGAGTTGTTTGGGGTGTAGTTTTTATTTCCCAGGCTCTAAAACTAATTTTCAACGATTCTTAAACCTCTTATATCTGATAAAAGTCATTATTCAGTATCATTAATTGGTGACAGCATTAAGCTTGTTTGATGTTAGTTTCCAATGGCTATTCAACAAACAGGAGAAAAGTGACAAATTTACAAACAAAGGGCTCTGACTTCTTCTGGAAAGATGCCAGCTTAACAACAGTGGAAACTAGTTACTTAGAGCAGAACAGTGTGTCTGCCATCGGACCAGGTGGGACCACTGGGTTTACTGATTTTAACTATATGATATACTAAGCACTCAATACTTAGCTCCTTTTAAATGCTCTTCCCTAAAAGAAATGTAAGTAATATTATTTTAGGCTAGTGGGAATGAATCAAAATCCAATTAGCTACTCTGAAAGCATCCTGTTCGAAGATTTCTTTCCGGAATTATCTGCAAGTAATCCTGAGCTTCGGACAAAGAAGGAACCTGTTAAATACAATGGCTTCAGGCACCTCCCTAATAAACCCTCTACATTCTAATCAGTCCTTGCGACTTGTGCGGGCTACTGCAGTTTTCCTCCAACACAAGTTAAGAGGCTGCTGCTTGGTAGGAGAATTAGCAGCCAGAGGGCACTGTGAAGGGCGGGTAGGGAGATTCATCAAAACAGGGCAATGGATTATGCAGCAAGCCTCACAGAGGCTGCTCCGGAGCAAGTAACTCTTCCTAGTCTGGAAGACAAAGAAATTTTTTAAAAGCCCACCTCACTAACAACATGAAATCAAAATCATGAAGTATAAAATCATCTTTAAGTTACCTTTCTTGGCTTGAGAAATTACTTTAACATGGCCAACTTGTTTAAAATTCCCCAGAATGACCAATTAATATACTGTATTAATCTAGGAATGCTAAGCCCTCCCCTGTGACTTTCAGGAAACACTGGGAGATAAAGTGGATGAAGGGGGAATGACAGGGAAGAGATGAATGAGAAATTCTCCCTATGTATGAAGAACTAAAATTTTTTGGTTGGAAAAACAGAGTGGGTGGTCAAGGACAGTAAGAAGTACAAACACTTTCAGCATAGTTATTTTGCAGGTGAGCTCTGAACCATTACTCGTTTGAAGTAAGAAACATACCTCAGTCCAAGCTGCGACTAATACTCAAGTCAAGATGATTAACCAGAGTAAATTCTATTTTATGCAGAATGTCCTATACTTAAAAATAGCTGTGCCAAGCTTGTGAGGTCCTCAAATAAGACAAAATATCTGGAAGACTCCAAAAGGAACCAAAGCCACTGGCTGTATTAAAAAGAAAGGAAAATTACTAATACTCATTTTCACTATTTTCTGAAGAAACAAAAAATTAGCTCCCTTCCTAAACCCCCTACCACCCAACCTCCCTAAAAATGCGTGGCTGCCACTGAAAAGTATCAGGTGCATGATGATCAAAAAAATGCAGCTCTCAAAAACAGGGCAGATCTTACAGTGGATGCGTCCAGCAGCAGATGAGAAGCATTTCTTTTTTTAATATTTTATTTTATTTATTTATCTGACAGAGACAGAGAGAGAGAGGTAGGGAGAGAGCGAGCGCGCAGAAGCAGGGAGGCAGAGGGAGAGGGAGAAGCAGGTTCCCCGCTGAGCAGAGAGCCCTATGTGGGGCTGGATCTTAGGACTCTGGGACCATGACCTGAGCCCAAAGCAGACGCTTAACCGACTGAGCCACCGAGGCGCCCCGAGCAGCATTTCAACACAACTTCCTGACCTCATTCCCCACCCCCACCCCCGGCCCCCAGGTGCCCTCCCACAGGTTGCTTGCTGGCCAGCATCACGGTTCGCCAGCACTTTCCAGGCCCCCGCCGATGTCCAACACCTGCAGCTCTCTAGACTGCCTGCACTCGCCGCTGCGCTGGGGAAGTCCCGGGCCCCCCGAGCATCCACGAGACTCCCAGGGCCTTCGGAAAGAGGCCCTGGAGCACAATACAGGCAGAAGGACAGCGAGTGCAGCACGACAGAGCAGCCAGCTGGGAGGATGTGGGGCGGACCGAGCCACAGTGGCCAGGCAGGACCGCCGCCGTGTGACACTCGTCACACCAGCCTCTAATTGTTCAAAAGGAGAAAAAACAGAAGACGCCACGAGAGCAGAATGGGCGTGGGAGCCCGGCGAGCTCCGGGTTTCCCCGCACCGCCGGGACTTCCTCCTCCGGGAGTCAGCGCTCCGGCCCGGGGGAGGGCGGGTAACCGGCCGGGGCGCCCGAGGGCGCGGGGTGGGGCAGCGGGGTCGGGGTGGGGGACGGGGGGTCCGGCCGGGACGCTCACCCGCCGGCGAAGAGGTGAAGCAGCGTGTTCTCCTTCTGCTGAGTGCCCGTCGCCATGGCCGCGCCGGCTCCGCGGCCCGCAGCCGCCGGGTGCAGCGCGCACGAGGTCGCTCGAAGGATGCGCGAGAAGGCCCGCTCGGCTCGCCCGGCTGCCCTCACGCGGCTGCCGGCTCCGCCTCCATGCGCGCGCGCCCCGACACCCCGCGCCCTCGCACCGCGCCCTCCCCGCCGTGGCCGCCGGCGCCTCACCGGTCTCTGCGGCGCGAGCCCAGCGCCAGCCGGAGCCCGGCGCGCAGCCGTCACGTGGCGGGGGCCGGGCCGTGTCGTCACGCGGCTGCGCGAGTCCCGGGCGGCACGCGGCGGGGGTGTGGGCCCGGGTCTCGCGCGCCCATTGGCCGGCGTTGGACGTGGGCGGGGCGACTGCGCAGTCTGGGCGGGCGTCTGCTCGGAGCGCCGGGTTGGGCGGGGCCTGCCTGGGCCAAAGCGCCGGGAGTGAGATCCGGCCGAAGCTGCCTGCTCCCGGTTCCGATGCGGAGAAACCCGGCTTGCGAAAACGTAGGGAGACCCAGGGCCTGGACTTGCCTCCCATGTTCTAGCCTATTTTTAGTTCAGTTTAGTTTTTGTGATACGATGTACAAAAAGGTGTCGAAATTACATACTACATCTCGCAGCTCCGTATTCAACATCCAGCTTAGGGAAAACACATGATCAGAACAGCCTAGACCTCGCCCCCAGTGTACCCCTAGGATAATGTTGTGTATTTTTTTATTCTTCTATGATTCTGCAAAAACGTGTTTGGTCTATCCTTTCGGATCATCTGCTGCCCAGACTTCTGAGTTCCAAGCTTCTATAGTCAAGCTGCTTCTCTACTATGTCCTTGGGTCGCTGTCAAACTCAGCCTGGCATCTTACCTCCAGGTCTGACAGGCAGGCCTTCCCTGGCCACCCTGTAGCACACTATCACATGATTCCATTTAATTTCCTCACGTAGGCTCCTGCGGTTACTTTGTTGATTTATTCCTTTAAGCTGACCTTTTACCCCCGGAGTGTAAGCTTCAGAAGAGCGGGGATCTTTGTTTCTTTTATTTCTCGTTGTTCCTGGCAAGGTACCTGCCACTAGTAATGCCCGAGAAAGTAATGAATAAATGTCCCGAACTAAACTCATCTTACATTCTTCCCCTACCCCACACCTGTCCCACCTGTTGTATTTCCTGTCCTGGTGGTGAGACCACCATCTGCACAGCCACTAACACCAGACACTTTCCTGTTACCGTGGACTCCGCCCCCACCCCCTTTTTCTCAGCAGCCCATCACTCACCTGGCACTTCCATTTCCTGAAATTCTCCCAAAGCCATCTCCTTCTCTGTGTTCCTGCCCTTACTGCTGCTGGAAGTTTTCATGCCTCTCACCTACTTTGTAGCAAAAAAATCTGCCTGCTCTCACAGGCCACCCCTTAGTCTGTCATCCCCCACTCCCATGCCCCTCCAGAGGCACCAGATACAGAATATACCAGCCCTGTGTTTTCAATCTCCAGAGCTGCTAAAAGCAGTACCTTGACCAGACCAAGTTGCTAGATGGCCAGTGTGTAAACACAAAGAGCTTAAGCAGAAGGGAAATTGTGTGCAAACACAAGAGCTAGGTATTTGATTGCTGGGACTCTTCAAAAACAGCTCTTAGGAGCAGTCATCCAAAACACAAACGCAGTGAATACTCCATATTAAAACCATTACTCCCAGGCTTAGAAAGGGGGAAAGGCACACTAGTGCTCCATGATAGGGGAAAAAAGAGAAAAGAAAGGGAAGAAGACAAACAGGAGGGGGGAAAAAAAGTGAGTTTCTTTGTGTTTGCTAGAACTCCCAAATCCCTTGCTTTAGCTGCTGGTGCAGTCAGCATTGGTCTTAACTGAAGATAATTTATGAGGCATGGATAGAAGGCAGGAGAGAGTAACGGGACCGTTAATCAGGAGGGAACCTCTCCCATATATGGGCAGGGTTCTAACCCAAGGAGATGCCATGGAGGTGTCTGAGGGTGGGACACAGGCTTGTAATGCCAAGGCAGCACCCAACCTCTTGCCTGCTTTTGCTAAGCTAGTCTGGGCTGTGTGGGACACAAGAACAAGCCTCCCCACCTCCTTGTTAATAGTAACACTGCCTTCATGTTAGAGTTTTTCCAAGGTCTTTCACATATATTATCTCGTTGGACACTCACAATGTTTGGCAGACCTGTTGTTTTCGTTCCCGTTTTATGGATAAGCAGGACAAATATGTCCAAGGTCACACAGCTAGTTAGCCGCTGATGCAATGATCTTTCATGCCTCTGTGCTTTGGAACATGCTGTTGCCTAGGATGCCCCCTTCCTCTGTTGGACCTCCTCTGAAACCAGCTCAACATTTCGCTTTTCTGTAAAGCCAGGGAGCAGCACCAGCATTCATTCCCTGGCATATGTGTTGGTGGGAGTGAAGACGGGGACAACATCTTCAGAGGGAAGTCTGGACATTTTGCCAAAATGTTGAAATGGGCACATCCTTTGACCCCCACATGGAGGAAGATGTTTGATTGATTAATTCACTTATTCAACACAGATTTATTGAACATTTGTTCTGTTCAAGGTTGTTTTCTAGGCTCTGGGGGAACATCAGGGATTAAAATGGATAAAAATCCTTATTGAAACAGTAGCACTCAAATCCAGCGATATATAAAAAGGATTATACATCATGACCAAACAAGATATGTCCCAGGAATGAGATTGGCTTAACATTTGAAAGTCAATCAATATAATTCAGCATACGAACAGAATAAAAAAAGAAAAACCAGATGATCATGTCAACAGATGCAGAAAGACATTTGACAACACTGAATACCTATTCCTGAAAAAAACTCTCAGCAAACCAGGATTAAGAAGGAATTCCTCTACCTGATAAAGGGTGTCTATAATAAAGCTATCGCCAACATCATACTTGGTGGTAAAAGATTATTTGCCTACCTCCCTAAGATCAGCAACAAGATGTCTGTTCTTACCACTTATTCAGTGTGGTACTAGAGGTCCCAGTCAGTGCAATAAGGCAAGAAAAATAAAGACAAGATTTAAAGATCAGAAAGGAAGAAGGAAAACTATCTTTAGTTATAGATGATGTCATAGTTTACTAGGCAATCCTAAGGAATCTGTGTAACAAGTACTAGAACTAGTTAGAGAATTTAGTAAGATCATAAGAGACAAGGTCAATATACAAGAAAGAAATAACTTTTGCTAGCTGCAAACGGTTTCATGTTGAAATTTTTATTTTTTTATTTTTTATTTTTCTATTATTTTTTTCAATATGAAATTTTAAAAAAATTCTATTTACCGCAGCATCTGAACAACGGCAACAATCACAAAGAAGCCAGACATAAAGGAACACATAATTCCATTTATATGAAAATCTAGAAAAGGCAAAACTGTACATTAGTGTGACAGAGGGCACATCAGGCGATGCCTGGGGCTGAGGCTAGGAATGGGAAGGGAATTGACTGCAAAGAGAGGCCAGAAGAACTTCTTAGAGTGATGAAAATGTTCTCTGTCCTGATCAGGGTATAGGTATTTGTCAAAATTCAGTAAAATAGGTGCATTTTATTGTATGTAAATTATATCTCAAGAAAGTTGATTGGCAAGGATAAAAGCAAAGCAGACTACATGTATAAATATTTGTACAACAATATCAAGTTTAGGGGTGGGGAAGGGTGCAGACAGATGGTTATACAAGCAGACCCATTTAGATGCTACCCCATTTAAGCCACCACTCCCAGACCTTGGTAGGTGAGGGAGGAGAGGCTTGTTTGGGTTTTTTGCAACTGTTTGAATTTTGAAGGGCCCGAGGCTTCCTGCCGACCTGTTGCTGGTTTCGTCTTGCTTTCTTCCTCTGATTATTGACTGTCAAACCTCTAATGGCTTCTTTAAGCCTTGTTTTTCTGCAAAGCTTCCAGCTGCCTGCCAGCTACTGGGAAAACACCTCCTCCCACTGCACCCCCAAGGGCTGGGATTTCAGATCTTTGCAGGGAATTGTAAGGAGAATTTCAGTTTTTCATTGAGCCTAACTCTGGAACAGGGCTGGTTTCTCTCCTGTGAGGCCTCATCTAGAATGAGCTGACGTTCAAGGCCTCTGTCTGCCCAGGGTCTGGCGGGCAGCAGAGGCAGGGGGTATGGTTGGGGGGCAAAGGACAAATGCCCAGCAGGCTGCTGCCTTCCCTCCTTTTGTTTCTTCTTAAGAGTTCTAGCCTGAGCCAAGTTTCTGCCACAGTCCAAGTGAGACTCTGTAACCCAGCCTTCTTGCTAATGAAAGGCCTGTGTTGTCCCTGCTCCTCCAAGGCTAAGCCACTGCCAGTGAGTTGTCCTCTTTAGGTCCGCCAGGCTGGAACCTGTTTGTCCAAACAGGTTCTTTGTAAGCCCCTTGTCCCTGCCCCCATGTTTCCCTGTTCATTTCTTAGAAGAAATGCACTGTGGGGGAGGAAAAATAAATTTACTTCTACCCTTCTAGGTTCTTGGCTGAGACACCCCCTGTATTCAAAGAGAGATTAACAGGAGAAAAACAATTTAATTGAATTTCATATGCACAGGGCCCCCAAAGATATCAGACCCAGGGAAGTGACCCAAGCAGGTAGGTTTTATACCTTGTGGACAAGGAAACAATAAAATTTGTGAAGGACTGACAAGACAAAGGGGTTCAGGCTTGGGGTAGAAATTGGAGAGGAAGTACCAAGCTTTGTTTATATGGCCTTCTCAGCCCAGAATTCCCGTCTCTGGCGATAAGGATGTCTTTCTTTCTCCTGGTACAGGAAGGGTAAATTTCACATGAGAGATTACTTCCTGCTTTCGGGCGGACAGAGGAGGGTCAGAGTGTCCTTCATACACCAGCTGCTTCTTAAGTAACTTTAATTCTAAATAATCAACATGCCAAAGTGGCATATTTTAGGGCAACCTGTCCTGAGCCCCATCAGCATCTTTGGTATAACGTCAGCTCCAATACATTTTGAATAACGCTTGGAGCTTGATGGAGACTGGTTATTACCTTATGGCATTTGTAACTGGACTACCTGACTGACTGGTCAGGCAGGCCCTGCCCTTCTTCCTTCCCTATCCTTCCCTCCCACGCTGCCCTGTGTCCCAGCTTCTGAGCAGCAGTAGAGCATGGTGCCAAACTACCAAGTGACTTCATCTCTCCATTCCAGGTATGGTAC